TGGGAAGTGATGGCAATGCTCCCAGAAGTCGTGGCATTTCTGGAAGTGGCTGCAGCAGTTCATCTGGTGCTCCCACTCCCTGGCTGGCACTCTCAGGGGGAGCACCAGCACTCCCACCTGCCCCCCTCCCCACCCATCACCTAAGTGGGGAGCACAGCCTGTCAGAGGGTGCACCAGTGCTCTCAGGGGGTGCATGTGCACCACCGTGTACCCCTTACGCATCATCACTGGAGCAGTGGTTTTCAAACTGTGTTCCATGAAACCATGCAGTTCTGTGATAAGTCATCAGTAGTTTAGCAAAGATATTGGGCTAATAGCAGAGCCACTGAGAGGCCTGATTACCTGACACCACTTCAGTCTTTATGATGTGGTAGTGGTTCCATGCCAAAAGAAGTGATATGAAAGGATTCAATGACTTTAGGAAGTTTTAAAACCACTGGGATAGAGGATCTCGTATTAAAAAAGAGCACTCAAAAGGAAAGCAAAAAAATAAATAAATAAATACAATTAGTCCTGCTTTTGATACTGCCTCAAAACTCTGTCTTTTCTCAGCCTATGTACACAATGGAGAAACATTTTTATAAAGGCATCCCATCACTTTCTTTTCTCATTTCTTTCGGGTTAAACAGATGTGACTTTTCTATCACTGCATCTTGTGATGTTACAGTACCGTGAAAATGAAATCCATGCCCAAATGCAGATAACTTTCAAAATAACAACAAACATATATTTATCTGTCTTTTCTTTTTAGTGGCAACGATATGTGCTAACTTTGAGGAATGGTTGTTGGAAGCTCTGAGCAATATATGAAGAGAAACACTTGCTATGTTCTACAGTTGCTACACTAAATTAAAAACATGTAATTCTGATAGCACCAGAAAAATCAAAAGTTAAAAAGAGCAGTTTCCCTAGGAAGTAATATTAATTTTGCAGTTTGTGGGTCATCAGATTTTTTTCTATATCTGTCCACTATCTTGCACAATGCAAAAGATAGTCATAATAGCTTGGATAAACAAAATGATAACCCTCTCACTCTTTCCTTTTATGTATCTGAATGCATCAAACCACATTTTCATACTACACTCAGCCATTTTAGGAGCACAACGTATGTTTATGAAAAATATTAATTTCTTTCATAGTTTAACAGGGTCCACTGAAATGTTCAAATGTGCCTAAAGAGCACACAATTATTCTTTAATATAAATTATTTATAATCAGTTTTAATTTCATGTTAGAATGGACTTTAAAAAGAACAGAACAAAAATGTCTAGAAATGGAAAGGCACTGCACTCTGCAATATACAGATATATTCAAACACTTTATTTCATTATTCTTATTTAATTATCATCACTGTCATCCTGAGGTCAAATAACTTTATTAGAGGGGGAAAAACTCATGTTGCCCAGAGACTGAAAAATAATAGGAAAATACGTCCAGAACTTCCATTTCAAAAATATATATATATTTCTAAGTTCTGAAAGTATTTCAGTTGCTCATATATAGAGACATATATAATTTATATAATATAAAATGCATGTATACACATTTGTATACATATATGTGCTTTTGTGTGTAAGTATACAACACATTGTTAAATATTACTATGGGCACAGACATATAGAAAATAGTTGTTAATGTCTGAAAGCTTGCAAAGAACAATTTTTCCAACTATTTAGTCGGTCTAGTAAAAGATATCACATCTACCCAAAGAACCTTGTATGCCTATGTCCTTAGACCAACATAGCTACAACCAACAACTTTAACACATAAAGAAATGCACTTTTTATATCTATTTCACATACAAAAAAAGTTGTAAAGTCAAGCACGTGAGTTAGAATATGCAAGACTAAGAGTCACCTATTCAATCCCTTGTTTGTATGTATTATGATAAAATCTCTAATTAAGTGATCATGTACCATATACTGTCAAGGCTCTTGAGTAAAGGATATTGTTGTCTGCAGCACCCTGCTTCATTTGATGTGAAACAAAAGCAAGTAGTGAGGCAGGGAATTACAGAAGTTAAAATGAGTGTCTCATAGTTTAGGTAGCTGAGTGCTATCCTGGAATACAAATAGTGGGGTAAAAAAAAAAGGTAAAGGTGTAGGCTACTCATTGTCACAAGCAGCAACAGTGTGTTTCAGAAAGAGGTGGTCTACCAGTGTCAGAAAAGTCACATTGCCAATCTGGGAAGTCATGTGTGTACTAGGGATCCTGGTTTTCTCTGATTTAAAAAAATCCCCAATTTTCGGTTAAAAAACATAATCCCAAATCCACATTTTTCATTGCTTAAATGAAACACTGCTATATATATAGTTATATCTTAGTGGTGTTTCATTTTAATCATGGAAAAATGTGGATTTGGGGTTACTTCTTAAAACCAAAAATTGGGGATTTTTTTTAAATCAGAGAAAACCAGGATCCCTGGTAGTCACCATATTGGATTCCAAGATGGCTGCTGCAAATTTATAGTTTCATTCATTATTAGACCCCCAAAAGGTCTGCAAAATTGCTACATCAACTCTCTTTTTTTTCAGATTACCTTGACCTGAAAACCTTGAATGGAGATTGTCGACAAGAGACCTTAAGCAAATGTTACAATGGAGCCAATAGCATCACTGAGTCCAGTGAAGCACAGGAGGTACGACTAGGAATCTACAAGATACATCCTGTCTTGAAGGAGATTTGCAGTCAAGAATTAGTCAAAGTACATCTGCTGGAATTGAGTGAATAAACGAGGCACTCATTCAATGTAGGACAGTTGCTGTATTCACCACCTGTTATGGCAGTACTCTTGACTAGTTATCACATTGTGTTGCTCCTGTGCTGCAAGATTTCAAAAGCCTCAATTGACAACAGTTCTTTTATACCCAAAGCACTTCCTGCCTTGGTCAACTGATGAATGAACATGTATTCTGTTATTAATGGTCCAATCTATGCAGATTAGAGAAAGCTGTGGAGACTGAATTGATTGCACCTCTGGCTTTTTAACTGTCTGTATGTACACCTAAGGTTATGAACAGGGGTCCTGGTTTTCTCTGATACCCCCCCCCCCCACCCCCTCCCCCAGTATAGAATTTTAAAAAGTAATCCAAAAGTCAGCATTTTTTCATGATTAAAATGAAACACCACGAGATAGAGATAGAGATTGAGAAAATCCATATTTTTCTAAGATTCAAATAAAGCACCACTAATATATACATTTCTATATTTCTATATTAGTGGTGTTATATCTTAATCATAGGAAAAATATAGATTTTGGGTTACTTTTTAAAATCCGAAAATTGGGAATTTGTTTTTAAATCAGGGAAAACCAGGGAAAACCAGGATCCTTGTTTATAAGTAAACAACATAATTTTTAGCCACTTTAAAAGGAGAGGGGAAGCTACCACAAAAAGTAAGAATCACCTGTTACATTGAAATGATTACATTTAAATACTCCTTAGTAATGCAAGTGAGCTAAATTGCTGTAACTTTAACCCTAAACAGTGTTAAAGTTGCAATGGTTTTGCTATATGATTGTGAGAGCATATATTGGTACTGGTGGATGTTGATACAGTTGTTACATCTGCTTGTAGTTTACATCTACAGAAGTGTAATCTATGACTCCTCCCTCACACCTAGCCTCTGAGAAGTCATAGACAAATAATTTTTTCTGATTAAGTTCCCTAGGAGCCTAGAGTGTTGTTACTTCTTATTCCTAAAACTGCAACTATCTTTCCCCCCACCACTCTGCTTAGATCACTATTTCAAAAAGCTTCACTCTTCTAATAGTTAGAAATCTTCTTCAAACTTCCAATCTAAATTTATCCATAACCAGTTTGTAGCTATTTGATTTTTTGTCAACATTGCTTTTCAGTCTAAAAAGCTCTTCCCCTTCTTTAGCATGGGTGTTTAAGAATTTCACACTGGAAAGCAACCACCTAGAAGTTGTGGCGACACTAAGAGCTAAATCCTATTTCCCTTTATGCACCTAAATGGCATGTACAACAATTTGCAACTGCAACTTTGGGCACTTGCTGACAGTTTCCAATTACCTCTGGTGGCTCATGGCCTCACGGCAAGCAGCTGTACAATGAAAGAGTGCTCAACTATGTTCTTCCCATGTACCGAAGGACAGGTTAGGCCTAAATACAGAAGATAGTTAGGATTTAGAAACACTACAAACTGACCAGGCCAATGAACAACTGACTCCTTCAGCTGGTTGCAACTATTATTAAATAAGTTGTTTTAGTTCTATTCCAAATACCATGTAAAAACATCTATTCAAGCAAATCTCTGGCACCTGACTACAAGTGTAGGGGTTATCTGACTAAGCAAGAGATTTTATTTTTTGTGTTTATCTTTCATTATGTGATTTTATGCAAGTCCCTCAGAAGCTATGATCATAAATATGTGCATAAATAAATAATTAATATAAATACATGACATTCAAACTATCCTCTGGGATAGATCAAACTCCACAGACATCATTGATGGACTGTTTCCTTGTCAGAATATAACCAGTCTACCTTGACAGAATATTACAGAAGATGCTAATGTTCCACCAAAAATCTGTCACCCACTTGCAGTCCTGATGAAGACTGTCACTCTCTCAATTCCCAGAGGGTTGCACTGCCCTAACAAAGACCTGTATTACATGTGTCTGTCCTGCTTAAACGCCTGATCAGAATTGTCACCTATTGTAGACATAAAGGCTTTTGTACTACTAATGATAACTGCTACCATTCTACAGCACTGATAGATATTGACACTATATGGTCAATATCAATAAAGCAATGGGTAACTTCTTCCAGTAGTACCACCATCATAATATACTCCAAAGAAGGAAAAAAGATGACAGTTACCTCCACCAAAAAAATTTACTTAGGAGTAATCAAGGCACAGATGAAGTACACAAATACAAGCCCAACCAATCAACCAAGCAACTGCAACAACTGAGCATATTGTCCAGTAGAACAACTACAAACAAATCCAAAATGAAAAACCTCATTTTTGCTTACCTTTGATACTCTGTTTGCAACCTCTCTGCCTACGGTCAACCCCTGAACAAAGGTCCGTGCAGCAATGAAAGCTCTAGTAACTTGAACCTTTAGTTTCCTGGGTACATCTCCAAATGGCTTCAGCTGGTCTGTGTATTTGCTCACACACTCAAGGTAGTCCTCAGTGAAATGGTACTGGGGGTTTATGAGCTGGAACATCCGCTCCAATAACCGAGCCCAGAAGTCATTCAGCATCTCCTCCAAGTTCACATTGCCTCCTGTATAGTATCGTTTCAGTTCTGTGAAGAGATCCTGGAACACTTCTGAATTCTGCATGTACAACATCCCATATGTCCGTACAAACATATCATTTAAGGATCTTTCTGCGTTCTCCAGAAGCTCTCGGAAAAATTCTGCCGAGAAAATAAAGAAATACGTGTGGAAAAAAATTAATAAGGTGCCAGTGTTATGCCTGTCACCTGCATTAAACTGTTACCTTCAGCAAAATACATTCAAATAAATTTGTTAGCACTGCATTTTTAGGAGTAGAATTCAATTATTTGAATTGGAAATAGTTTCACTTAAAAATAAAGAAAAATAGGCAGTATGTTTGATTCCCCATGGAGGCAAAATGACTTAAAATCTGTAAGTTTAACTGTTAAATATTAAATATGCATTACAGAGAGTTTTAATGACAACTCTTCTATCCCTTATTCCATTATTATTTAAATACACCATTCTTATTACTTACAAAACTCTCATTAACTAACCTCCCAAATCTTGTGTATTAAATGTAATGCCATTAACATAATATGACTGACACTACACAGGGATAGCTAAGTAATACCATATTTTATTCTACTTAAGTTCTTACAATAATACGGTGGTCAGACACCACAGACACAACTACGTTTCTTATATCTTTCTTTACCTTCTAAAAAATTCAAGACCTTTTTGGGACTGGTCCTGCAAGCTATCCTATACATAGAACTCCCATTTAAATAGTACTACAACTTGAGTTAGTCACAAAATATGTTAGCAGTGTCAATAATTTAATGTTATTCTGGAGCACTGTGCTGGCATTTGGCCCTGGAACTCTACTAGCAGTGTTTTTCAAGCACCCTGCTGACTGCTACTTCTTGCAAGCTACAATTTCTGACACACTGTGCCAACAGTTGGCTTATTTATACAGCCTTTCTTTGAGAGGATTTCAGAGTTTACTATTCCTGTGTTTATTATTTGTTCATGCCTGAGCCATAACCAATTTTAAAGTTTTAGATTCCAGATTTTGTGCTTATTGGAAAATGGACCAACAGAATCTCATATCAGTAAGAGCAAACTCTGGAATCTCTCTCACACATGAAGTTAAGAAGGTAAAGGAAGGAAACCAGCAAGGGAATTCAGTTTCTTTGTCAGTGCTTTTGCACTTAATATCACCATCTGAATATTTATTATACCTTAAGCTAATCAGTTTTTTCCCTTAAAATTTATTTTATGGAATTTAACGCAGCTCCATTTATATCTGATATGAACCCATCCACTGTCCTTTGCATTTATGATTAGCATTGTCACCTCAACCTCACTATTTCAGAAAGAAGACATTTTATGTTGTACTGAGAGAAAGGAACTTTTCTCCTGTGGCATACCACTGCCAGACTCAAGTGGACCAGCAAATAATAACTCAAAAATGGGCATGTATTCATCACCAGTAAGCAGTTACAGGACAGTTACTGAGATACTGTATTCTGAATATGTGGACATAACAGACACTCATGTATGAGGCTAACTGTTAGGAAATGCTACCTTTTTAAAAACGAGAGTCCCCTTGAAGAATAGGGTCTTTTGTGGCTGCACAGACATTGCCATCATGAGGTCATGACTTGAATTAAGAATACAGAAAAAAAAGATGCTGCACTGAATTTGAGAGGCTACTTAACTGTGAACAATGGAAAGAACAGGGTATTAAACACACCCATGAGACAGATTACGCTTAACCCAAAGTCTGTGCCTTTCCTTTTCTGTAGAACTGTGCAGAAGTCAAGCATAATTCCTGCCTTTGCACTCTTGACCAGTTGGGTCTATTCCCAAAGGCATTAGATCTGAATCATATTCAGGCTTCCAGTACCACCACAAATATACTGGAGGCTGTCATTTAGATATCTCACAGGCATACTGCAACTACTGATCATGAAACTAGCTGTTAATAGGATGAATTCGGTACCGAAGATTTTGGTTCAGAAATATGAATCACTTCAACTCAGATTCTGGATATAGGAAGATGGATGGATAATATTTTCTCTTAGTGGTCTGGGATATATCTACTGAAGAATGAATCTGGCTCATTACACCCTACCTATCCAGGAAAAATTGTACAGAATGTCTGACTGGTAATTTTAATACATAGCATTCTATATGATTTATTACAGATGTACTTTTATTGAATTGTCTCCAATGGGACTCTCCCATTTGTATGATAATGAAAACAATCAGTGGAGCAAGTAAGACTTTATACAAAATACAGCATGTTTGTTAAACCAAATAATTAGTTAGAAAGGAAGATAGGTTTTCATAAAAGCATCGAACTGTCAATATGCCTAAACTAATATTATAGCTAGAAGAAAGACTAGAGCTCCCCAGATGAGATAACTTCTATTTTGAAAAGGGTTTTAGATTTCAAGACTTTTATTTCAACATAAAAAAACCTCCCATTTTGGTTTAAAAAGACTTTACATGGAATTCAGTTCTATTAGGCAACCAAGTGGATTTAGGTACTTAAGCATAATTCTGTTCCACACTTCTCAAGTCCCTGAGAACCAGTTAATGCAAAACATCTTTCTCCTCCTAACTTCTTTTCTGTGATGTGTGTGCATGCGTGTGTGTGTATATGTACACACACACACACACACACACACACACACACACACACAATTATAAAGTTGTATGTGTTTATATGTGTGTGTATAAATACACACACACACACATATATAATTATGTATAATTATATAATATACATATTAGGGGTGTGTGAAGCGGGCCCTATTCGATTTGGATTTGGGCTGAATCAGGGACAGTGATTCAATTTGTTGATTCAGATCACTGTCCCTGATTCGATGTGGCCAAATTCGAATTTGAAGATTTGATGCTGATTTGGAGAATCAGCAATTCGGACACAGACACAACTTTAAAAGGCTTTTTCTACATACCTTGAGGTACCAGCACAGCTTGAGAATGCTGCAATGCTGGGGCAGATGGAGCATCTCTCAGGAGTGGGGTGGGGGGAGGGCCCTCCACATGCTTTGTGGTGAACCTGGAAGTGGACTGGATGTACTTCCATCAGGGAACTCTCTTGGGACCCCCCAACAACACCCAGGCTCAGCATGCTGCAATGCTGGGGCAGATGGAGCATCTCTCAGGAGTGGGGTGGGGGGAGGGCCCTCCACATGCTTTGTGGTGAACCTGGAAGTGGACTGGATGTACTTCCATCAGGGAACTCTCTTGGGACCCCCCAACAACACCCAGGCTCAGCGATCAGCCACAGAGGGACCCCAGGTGCCCCCCAGCCCCAGGAGGCACCAGTCACCAAGCCAAAGGGGAATTGGGGGGCCCAGCGTGCTCCTTGGCAGGCCCGGAAGTGGACCAGAAGTGCTTCTGGTCCACTTTCAGGTCTGCTGCTGAGTGTACTGGGGAGCCCCATGCGCTTCTGTGGGACTCTTCATGTACCCCAGCATCGCAGCATTCATGAGTGACCTGCTACCTGGAGGTATGTAGAAAAAACATTTAAAGCTGTATCTATGTCTGAATTGCCAAATCTTTCCAAATCTCTCCAAATTTATTTGGAGGGTTCCAATTTGATTGAGAGAGATTGAAAGGTCCTCTTATTTTATTTGGATTTGGAGATTCAGCCACCGAATCAGTCCAAATCTCCACCGAATCGAATCAGGGACCAAAGCTTCGCACAGCCCTAATATAAAATGTTTAAAACTTTGGAGAAATTGAAATGAAACATTTCTTGTTGTGGTAAACAAAATATTCAATTTGAATAGAAACAAGTTCTTGTTCTATTTTTGTTTCCTAAGATTTTTGAGAAAAAATATTTTAATTTGCCCGGATAATTTTTTCACAGCACCATGAGTAAACAAAAACATCTGTTTCTGCTTTTTGAATAATAGCAACACCAAAAATAAATGAAATATCATTATACAGCATGAAGTGGAAGCAATTTGTTTATAAATATGTTGACAGGGAAAAGTTCAACAATTGGATCTTTTTTTTTCAGTTTTTCTCCTCAGTGAAATGTTGGCAACAGTTGACATGATTTCATGAATTACTTTGATTTTGAAGAAATTGCTTTTTCCAATGGAAATGGAATTAATCAATATACTTATGAGTAGTTTTAATTAAAATGCGGAACATACAAAAATTTAGCATAAGCCCACGTGAAGAAGAAATGAGGTTTATATAGCTCATACTTAAGAAAACTGAGGGTAATTATAAAAAGGATGGAAATAGACTGTACTTTGAGGCCATAGAGAAGAGGACTAGGACAGTGGCCTCACACTACATCAGAGGAAATTTAGATTGGCAATCAGAAAGGACTTTGTTACTATAATGTTGGGCCAGCGTTGGAAAAGGCTACCTAATGAGGTTGTGGAATCTTCAGACAGAAATATTTTTAAGAGCAGGTTAGACAAGACTGGTTTAGTCAGGGATGATCTGTAGTGCCCTACTTTTCCTTTGATCCTCTGATCATATGAACTGAAGACTACTCTCATCACTTTGTTTAACAGGATGCAACATAGCATGGTATTGTGTATTGAATGAATAATTAAGCCATTTCCAAACAATGTATTGATCTAGATAAAACCATCATCTCTACATTAAAAAAAAGAAATACAAGGATGATATTGTCATGATCTGCTTGGGCAGACAGACACTGAGGATCACATGATTAAATTCTAACTTAGTAGGCAAATTGAGACAGTCTCTATTTTTATAGAACTTACCCCCAAGCAAGATCTTCAGGTATATATTTTAAATACTTTGCAGTATAAACTTAGAGGGTATATTTTTCAGAAGGGCCTAAGTGTCCTAGGACCCGAAGACAAAGATTTCTTCAGATGATATCTTTTATTGAATGAACTGCATAATTGGGATAGAGTTAGACAAGCTTTTGAATGCAAGTCATTCCTCTTCAGGTCATTTGAAGGAGCCTAACTAAGAAAGTTTAGTTTATACTCTACAGTGTGGAGTGAAACTTTGGCTACTCTCTAGAGAAACAAGTAAAAATTTTACCTGTAATTTTACAACATTTCTCCATAATCATTCTGCAATCTGTAGATTTTAGATATATATGTAGCAGGCTCACCTCTCAGAGCTTGGGTTGAGGCCCAGGCTTGAGATCCTGCTGTTTTGA